CCCCAGCCAAGCCACTTGGCAGCTCCGGGGGCGCCTCAAGCGCCTCAGGTGGAGCTTGCTGCAGCAGCAGCAGGTGCAACTCTGTCAGCAGCAGCTGCAGCAGCTGACCAGGCGTCAGGCGCTGCAGCAGCAGATGCTGCTGTAGCTGCAGCAGCAAGCGCTAATGCTGCAGCAGCAGCAGCAGCAGATGCCCGCGTAAAATGGGACGCTCAAGCGCCAGCTGCTGGGAGGGCGGCAGCAGCTGCTGCTGCTGCTCCTAGGGATGTTGCTGCAGCAGGAGCTGCAGCTCTGGCGGGAGCCGAGGCAGCAAAGACACCCCCCAGCAGCATTAGCAGCAGCAGCAGCGGCAACACCAGGAGCAGCAGCAGCAGCCACAAAGCTGACTCTGCGCCCACGAAACGGAAGCCGGCGGACCGCAGCAGCAGCAGCAGCAGCAGCAGCAGGAAAGTGAAGCGGCAGAAGAGCGCATCCGCTGCGGCTGATGCTGGATCTGAGAGCAGCAGCAGCAGCGGCAGCAGCAGCAGCGACGATGATAGCAGCAGCAGCAGCAGCAGCAGCAGTGGCAGCGAGACGTCCTCGGAGGATGAGGTGCGTCTAAACCCTAGGCCAGAATGGGCCCACGAGCGCGCGTGGGGGTTTAGGGTTTAGGGTTTAGGGTTTATGATTTGGGGTTTTGCTGTGCTGCTGCAGCAGGAGATGGCGCTGCTGCAGCAGAAGGAGCAGCAGCAGCTGCTGCCGCTGGTGCAGCAGGTGCTGCAGCAGCTGCGCAGCATGTTTGAAGATCAGCTGCAGCAAGCAGCAACTTTGAGAAAGAAGCAAATTGAGCTGACGGGTATTTGCCCCATTACAAACCAGGTGCGCAAACCCTAAACCCTAAACCCTAGACCCTAAACCCTAGAGGCTGTCCCGCAGGCCTCAACGCTGCACCTGAGAGGCTCTTTGGGTTCAGGTCTTAGGGTTTAGGATTTAGCGTTTAGGGTTTAGCGTTTGCGACTTACGGTTTAGGGTTTAGGGTTTAGGGTTTAGGGTTTAGGGTTTGTGCTGCAGGGGACCCCCAACTCGCTGCTGCTGCGGCCGCCACCGCCCCACATCCCATACAGCAAACTTCTGAAGTGTCACAAGTTCTGTAGGTCCCAGCAAACCCTAAACCCTAAACCCTAAACCCCAAGCCCTAAACGCTAAACCCTGAACCTTAAACCCTAGTTGGCAAACCCGTAGCGCCACGAGAACGCTTGCCGCGTAGTGTTTAGGGTTTAGGGTTTAGGGTTTAGGGTTTTGAGGTGCTGCAGTTCGCCGGCAGCGGAACCAGGTGCTGCTGCAGCGCGTAACAGCAACAGCAGCAGAAGAGCTGCTGCTGCCGGTCTTTACCGAAGAGACAGTTGCTGCTGCTCTCAAGACAATTGAAGCTGACGACGCAGCAGCAGCAGCAGAAACGGCAGCAGCAGCAGCAGCAGCAGCAGCAGATGCTGCGAAGCTGCAGCAGCAGCCCTTACCCACTCGACACAAGCTGCTGCACCTCAGCGGCCACCGCTGCTGCAAGCGCTGCTGCATGCGCTGCACGCTGCAGCGCAGCAGCAGCAGCAGCAGCAGCGGCATTGATGACGATAGACCACCGGGAATGGTTTGCTGCTGCTGCTACTCTTTTACGCCGGTTCCTGGGGAGCCCGACGTCCTGAGCAGCAGCAGCAGTAGCAGCAGCAGCACAAGCAGCAGCAGCAGCAACAGCAGCAGGAGATGGCAACAGAGCAACGACCATAGCTTCGGGAAGGTCATAGCAGCCCCGCATTACACGAGTGGAGACGATGGCAGTAGCAGCAGCAGCAGCAGCAGCAGCAGCAGCAGCAAAAGCAGCAGCAGCAGCAGCAGCAGCAGCAGCACCA